GTCAAAACAGACTTTTATGAACAGTTGTCACCTTCGCTGTATAATGAGGATCGAATGGCGAGAAAGAATTAGTAACAAGAAAGTGTGGGAGCAAACCAACCAAAAGCCGATTGCTCGACAAATATGTAGGAGAAAATGGAGACGGAGATTGGAGCATACGTGGAGGAGGCCGTCGAATGACATCGTGTGTAATGCAGGCCAATACTCGAGTGGAATCCAAATGGAAGGCGACGAGTGGGTTGTCGGGTGTGAGGGTGACACTGAGGAGATCATGTGAGTTGGAGGAGATGAGAGCGTTTGGTCAATCGTGAACCCAGCTGAAAAGGATGGCAGAAAATAAAACAAAGTGGAGATGTGTTGTTGAAGCCCTCCTTTTGTTCTACTCGGCATCCAGGGCAACAATAATGACATGATAATAATAATGGAATTACGTTTCACTGAATATGCATAAACTACAATAAGCATAAAAATATAGTATTAAATAAAATATCAAGTAGAATTAAGGAAATTTCTATAACAAACTGAGGATCATTACAACTTTGATTGCCGAGATAAGGAGAGCGTCTGAACCAGCTCTCTATGGGCGCATAATTAAGGTTTCTTAATGTGAATCCCAATGGCTTTAGTAAAACGCAGTAGACGGATAGAATATCATAAATAGCGCGCATACATGAAGAAGAATTATGTGTAAAATCTTTAAAATATTATTTTTGGTTTTTCCTGGTAAAACACATAATTTATTTCATAGGCTATTGATTTATTTACTGAGAGTAATATAAAGAAAAAGTGGATTTTCGTTGTGTTCATTTTCCACTTTTTTTATTCTCTCAGTTGGGGATTCCAAAATAAAAAGAAGTTTGAGGCAATTAATCCTCATAAAAAATTTGACTAGAGTTATTAAATAACGGTTATGAAAATAACCAACCAACAGCAACAACAACAGCAGCAACATCCAGCGTCAATCACCATCAACGGGAGGGATTTGAAAGAGGTTACTTCATTCACTCACTTATCTAGGGAGCATTGTCTCAACTACAGGCAGTCGGAACGGACGAGGATGTCAAATCGAGCAAGGATCGGGAAGGCGATAAACACATTCATCAACTTGAAATCAATGTGGAAATCTTCGTCACTCAGCATCAACAACAAAATTCGGATTTTCAATACAAACGTAAGGTCAGTCAGTTCTTCTATATGGATCAGAAACTTGGCGGGCGGGCGGGTCACAAAGAATATTTTGAAACAGTCTGTTGCAGACCTTCATCAACAAATGTCTTCGCTGGCTCCATACTGAAGATCAGATGGCCCGGCTGGAAAGAGTCACCAACAAGAAACTATGGGAACAAACAAAACAAGAACCAATCGCCACCCAACAAATATGCAGGAGAAAGTGGAGGTAGACTGGACACTCGCTCGCTGAGAAGGCCGCTGGGTGACATCGCGCGCACGTCAGGCCATTGCTCGAGTGGAACCCGAAAGGGAAGCGGCGAGTGGGACGTCGGTGCAAGGGTGACATGGAGGAGATCGTGTGAAGAGAAAGGAGTTAAAAGAGTATGGACTAACATGGATGCAGGTGAAAAATACAGCAGAAGACAGAAGCAAGTGGAGACGTGCAGCTGAAGCCTTATGTTCCACTAGGAACTCAAGGGAACAATAAATAATAATATATTAAACAACGGGTATATGTTACTGAATTGAGAAAGACCTTCCAAACAATCTGGACTTTAAGGATAATTTTTCCTTAATATCATACACACTTGAAGATCTACAAGCGAAAACCTACGAATTCTCATTATGTGTAAAATTATACTCTGACACAGTGCACAAGTTCTACTTCTAAACCAACTAAGTTTTCCGAAGAGGCAAGTGAATTCGGCGAAGATAAAGGTGATGAAGGCATCTAACAGACAATAACAAAGAGCATTCATCATTATCAACGGGAGAAATTTTAAGGAAATCACATATATATATATATGAGTCACGATAAACATATCCAACAGGATACTTAGGATTGTCATCAACAGTTGTCTTTGCTGCATACCGGAGATCAGATTAATAGAAAGGTTAGGCGACAAGGGACTAGAGGAAATAAAACCAAGCAAGAACATATTAGCTGGCATTTATGCAGAGGGAAATGGAGGTGGATTATGCACACATTGAGAGTACGGTTAAGTGACATAGCACGCCACTCACGCCCTCGAGTGGAACTAGAGTGCGAAACGATAACTTGGATATGGATCTGACAGTGATATAGAGGAAAGCGTGTGTCTAGGAAATGAAAACTTTTGGGAAACCATGGTGTCAGAATGACAGGATGAACTGTCGACATACTGTTGAAGCCCGATGTATCACTCAGAAACCAAGGGAATACAAACTATATATATATATATATATATATATATATATATATATATATGTTGTTAATACTCCCTTGACTGCTATCTTTTTATGCTTATTGTAGTTTATGCATATTCAGTGAAACGTAATTCCATTATTATTATCATGTCATTATTGTTGCCCTGGATGCCGAGTAGAACAAAAGGAGGGCTTCAACAACACATCTCCACTTTGTTTTATTTTCTGCCATCCTTTTCAGCTGGGTTCACGATTGACCAAACGCTCTCATCTCCTCCAACTCACATGATCTCCTCAGTGTCACCCTCACACCCGACAACCCACTCATCGCCTTCCATTTGGATTCCACTCAAGTATTGGCCTGCATTACACACGATGTCATTCGACGGCCTCCTCCACGTATGCTCCAATCTCCGTCTCCATTTTCTCCTACATATTTGTCGAGCAATCGGCTTTTGGTTGGTTTGCTCCCACACTTTCTTGTTACTAATTCTTTCTCGCCATTCGATCCTCATTATACAGCGAAGGTGACAACTGTTCATAAAAGTCTGTTTTGACTTGCTGGAAATCCTTTTCGTGGTGTACACGCAGTGCAAGTATCTGACCCGTATAGAAGAACTGACTGACTGACTGACTTGATATTTGTGTTCAGAATCCGAGTTTTGTTGTTTATTCTGACTGAGTGACTGACAGCAGAGGATTTCTAACCTGGTTTCAGGCTGATGAATGCGTATCTCGCCTCTCCCATTCTGACTGGCTTTGACATCGTCATCCTTTACACCTGTAGTTGAAACGACGCTTCCTAGATAAGTAAGTGCAGAAATCTGTCAAATCTGTCTCACTGGTATTGTTTGGTGCTGGTTGTTGTTGTTGCTGTTGCTATTGGTTGGTTATATTCGTCACCTCCGTCTTCACCATTTTCACCTGCAGTCCTGTCTTCTCCAGCTGTTTGTTCAGCCAGTTTTTTGCTCCTCACCTGTAAGTTTTCGAGTTTGTATGACATTAGACATATATCATCTGTGAAATCCAGATCTTCTAGAGTCTTCTTATTGATGGTTCAGTGTATTCATGACTCCTCTCTCTCTCCACAGCCTGACCCATAAAAAGTCCACCACAATTAAGAATATCATTGGTGATAGTAGACTGACAGTCATGTCTTACTCCTGTATTCAATTCTAAAGCTTTAGTGAGTTTTCTGTTGTCCATCACCTGATTCATGCCTTTGTCATATAGCCAGCTGTTGAATGAGATTGATAAAGAATTGAAGTAGTTCTCAAATTACATCTCAGTCAACACTGTCTGGTGAAGGCATTTTCGAAGTCGATGAAGTTGATCTTACAAATGGATAGTACAGCATCTATCCTATCAAGTGCAAAAGAAATTTAGTGAAGACCCTCAGCCACAGAGTTAGACCTATATGCTCAGAAGAAGTAAATGAAGACAAATTAAGCATTGTATATGATACTTTGATCGAAAATAGCTATCCCGAAAAATGTATCAAGAAATACATGACAAAGAAAGCGGAAAAGGACTACTCACTATCTGTAAACAACAAGCCACTTTATACACGACTACAATTCCAGGGCGATATACCAAGTGAGATAATCACGAAGGAATTAAGAAAATCAGTTCAAAGAACTTTTAATGCTGGCGAACTGCACGTATTATTCTCTACACGACCGATGATGCTACCTCGACTGAAAGATGAAATACCTAGACTAGCCACTTCAAATTGTATCTACCAATTCAACTACACTTGTGGGGCGAGTTATATTGTCCGTTGCTCTAGGAACTTGGTTTTTCGTACTCGAGAACATCTCTCACTATGGCTAAGTAAAGGTGTAGTTAAAACAACTAACAGTTCGATATTGGACCATTTGGTGCAAACCGAACAGCCACAAAGCCAGCCGGTGTTGAAGAATCCTTCTCTATCATCATCTACCGGGTGCCTAATAAATTACCAAAATCATCAAAGTACAGCATGCTCCAAACACCATAGACTATTGCAATTCGCCTCAAGCAACCAGGGCTCTGTGTTCAAAAGAAGCAAGTCCAGCCCCTACTACTACCCTGGCCGGCCTTCAGTAGAGACTATAAATTCATGAATTTGTAATATTATCTTTCCTAATTTATCTGACATTCAGTCAATTTTATGTTGATGCTATTTAGCTGTAATCTATCAATATTTTATTTCATTTTTTTATTTTTGATTTACAGCTTGATTCCACACTGTATTTTTGGTACAAGTATGGAATTTTCAGCATGGATATCGGTAGCCCAAATTTTGCAGGCCGACCATAGATATCAGGTGTGCGCCGGCGTGGGCTCGAACCCCGGACCATGTGCATGGTCGGCGAGAGTCCTAACCACTATGCCACCGACGCATATTCGATATTATTTAAACAACATTAATGTCGTTCATAACACTAATTCATTCATTATAATGTATATATAACTGTAGAGCCTGATGATGAAGTTATCGAGAACAGTACTCTTTGTTCAGTATCTATTCTTTTGGAAAATTGATAGTACTCAAAATACACCAATTTTGTTAATGATGACTATTCTAGAATATTCTTTGTAGAGTTAGAAGAGGAGATTATCGAAAAGGATATTCTTCGCCCATTTTTTTTTATTTTTTATTTTATTAAAAGGATAATAAATAATAAAATTCCATAAAACAAACCCCACAGAAAAATATGCAAAATATAACTAACGAATAATTTTTCTTTTAAACAGTAGCGTTAAAACAAACCGAATAATAAGTCGGTTTCACTGAATAGAGAACTAAGTATCTGTCTCGTAAACAGAGATAAAATACGACTGTGTTGATTGATGCAGGCATAAGGAATAGTAAGGAATACATGAAACAGTAATAATAATAATAATAACAGCAATAAGCCACCCACAATACACCCATTCTCATCTAATTTATACTTATTGTTTGAATACAACATTGATAATGAAACAGGCCGTAAGAAGAAGACGGTAAACAAATATACCAGCCCCCTCAAAGAAAACTCTTAAAAGTGGACGTGGATGAATGTAAAACACAGTAAGTAGTGTTAGAGAAAAATGAAGTTGTATAAAAAGCTAAACAAAATGAGAATAACTCAACACAGAAGTGAAGATAAGATATTACAAATAGTTAAACAAAGTATTCATAACGTCACCGGGGCATTGTTTTATACAACATGGAAGTCAAACGACAGTATGGTAGTGACAGAGGGACATAGAGAGGGCGGGAGATATGGTCTTGATTATACCAGACAAACAGTAAATTCAGAATTTCGATTTTCTTAATTACAGGAAAGAAATAGTTGACTTCAGTTTGTTGTACTATGTGTACTATCAGACTGGTCGCAACCTTGAGGGGACGATGACGACAATTACGGCGACGACGACAATACTGATACAGTCAAGGACTGATTAGATACAGGTTGTCTTAGTTGTTGCTGCTGTCGATATCACTACTACTATTACTTGCACGCCGACAAGTAATATTTGTCGTCGTCGTAGTTGTTGTTGTTGTTGTAGCAGAAGTATATTTTCTATCATTATTACTAGTAGTAGCAGTATCATTGTTATTTCTTTTCATATTATCTGTAAGATATAACACTTCTACATTTGATTTTGGCGTACAATTATGATGAAGGTGTTTAATAGTAACAGTCTGTTTAAATCTCGGTGTGGTTAGCACACAAACATTCGAAGAAAATGTCAATGTTTCATTCGATTTACCACCATCTGAAATATACTCATTATTTGGAGTAGCCATAGTAGTAGTCGCAGTAGTCGTAGCAGTTGTAGTTGCAGTTGTACTACTAGTGATAGCACTAACACTCACCTCTGTCTCATTACTACAAGTATTCACTGTTTCAAAACTATTAGTTGATGTGAAATTTGACGAGTGAATAAGCTTGTCTTCAGATGTCTGTGGTTTCAGAGTCTCTAATGAATCATTTTTAAGCAGCTGAAGACTATTCGAGTGTGAAACACTCTTACCAGTAGGAAGTGAATTGTATTTTTTATTTATAACTGAATTTCTTTTATTATTATTATTATTATTTTTGTTATTCTTACTTTTACTGTTGTTGACTGGATTAATTGGTGAATGCGCAGTGATAGTAGAAGCAGTCGAAGTTGTAGCAGTATTAGTTTTAAGCATAGGATAGGATAAACGATTTGGATAATAGGGTAGATTATCATCAGACAGAGCACGATTGAGTAAGTGAAATTTATGCAGCCGTAGGCGACTGAAACGACTAGGGGATCTAAAACAATAAAATAAAAGATAAAATGAAATACTAATATATGTGTAAAACAAAATTGGGCACTGTGGTAGTCAGTAATTCCATATAATTTTGTTTATTAGATGTATCACACAGTGAAAAAGTATTAGTATTTACTGGATGACAAAGTTATGAACAAAATTTATTGTTCATAATGATTGCATCAATTACAACTACACGACTTCGTAACTTGATTTTTATAGTTTTCTCTGTTCTTTCCTATCTGTCGTCGTTAGGGTAATAGAATTTTTCAGATATCCGACTGGACAGGTGTTGAAACCTTCAGATCCACCCCAAAAGTATGTTGGAGGTATGTAGATGAGACATTCATTGTACTTAGAATACAGGATATAGGTAGATTTTTCGAACACATTAACCTAAAGGTGTAGACAATTCAATTCACTTATGAACTGGAAAGTCAGGAAGGGGAACTTCCAATGTTAGATTTTAGCGTAAAAAGGAAAGAAAATGAGAAGTTAAGCACTAGTGTTTACAGGAAACCCACATTCAAACAAACATTTGGATATCCGATCATCCCATCCTATGTCAGTGAAAATAAGACTGGTGAAATGTTTGAATAAGGGAGCACAAAAACTAAGTAGTACCAATTAAAATATAAGACAGGGAATGAGGCCTATAAGAGAAGCTTTGAAAGTTAATAATTATCCTGATAAATTCTTAATAAGGCAGGAATAAAAGTGTCTGGCATTCAAACCACCCACAAACTCAATTAGAAACAAGCTTTGTCGGTTAAAGGATTAACCCTATGGAGCCTTTAGAACAAAACAATTTAGTTTATCTAATACCCCGCCTGCAATGATTGTCACATCAAATACATAGATCAAACTAGTAGAACAGGGGCAGTCAAACTGGCCGAATATAAATCTTAGCAAAATGTAGACTGGTTGACCCAAATAATGTAAGAAATCTAAAGAATAGTTAGGTTATACTACTCACTACATGCAATTACACAAAACCACACAATAGGACGGGATAAAGTGACAGTTTTAAAATCTAATGTGACAGGATGGAGGGAGAGATTGATAACAGAAGCTTTGTTGGTCAAATCAACTGCAAACACGTGTAATAGGAATGATTCAACACCTATCCCAGATATCTGAAAAATTCTACTACCCTGACGACAACAAATAGGAGAGAACAAAGAAAACTAGAAAACTCAATTTTCGAAGTCGTGTGATTACAATTGATGCAATGATTATGAAGAATAAATTCTGTTCGAAACGTCATCCAGTAAATAATAATACTGTTTCACTGTGTGATACATCTAATAAACAAACTAATATGGAAAATGAAATACCTTCAACATTTATACAAGTCGACTGACAAGAAATCAGACTTCTAGTTTTACGTTATCTTAAATCAAATTAACAATTTATTAATTGGTTAGCAGTTTGCCATCTGAACAGATGGTATGAGTTATATTCATCTACTTATCGCAGGCAAACAGTAGTATATATATATATATATTTGTGTCCTCTTTCCTTTTTAACACCCACCAACAAAATAAAAAGTGAACACTCAGGAATCAGCTTACTTCCACCTATATTTACCAAAAACAACAAGTTAACCACCTCAACCCTAAAGTCAACTTGACTGGTTAAAATCAAAACAAGATTTTGAGTGAACAATTGTTTTCGATAACTTCTTATTCAGGCTCTACAGTTATAAATCTATGAATAATAGAGTACATGTAGCCAGCCAATAAAGGCAAATGAAAATAATATCAGAAACTGTATTGGGGTGCATGTGTAAGTTGAGATGATACTCCATTAGTTAGCATAGTCAACTTTAATGTGTATAGGGTGTATAGTCAGAAAAATGTGATGAAGTGTGAATGAACAATTTGGTGATATAGTGTTGTTTTATAGTTAACAGAATACAAGTGTCATCAGGATGAGAGAAATGCGACAACCACAAAATACATACAAACACACATTAACAAAAGGGCACTGAATGTGAGGGCTGGTCGATAATGTCTAATGATAAAACAAAGAGGCTAAATTGTAAACTTTTAAGCTCAGTACAAAAGTTGCCATTGAACACGAGCCTACAAAACTTTGAAGTAATGGTGAGGATTAGCAAATTAAGCGGATGTTTCTGGCATCATCATCATATTTCCTAAGTTGAATAGACCTGTGTTCTTTTGGAAGTGTATGTGGGCCATTGTTAACTCCTAGTTGCCCGCCCATAGCGCGGCAGTTGGCTCTATTCTTGAGGTAACTGAAAGAGAAAGAAAATTAGTGCTGCGTGATCTCAGCGCCCAGTAGATAACTTCTTGGAACCAGTCACACATGGTCTATTTGAATTTCGCTTCTAGAGTTGCCTCCATATTACGAACTACCCACCGGTGACAGAAAACAACAAGGTAAATTAGGATGTAAAATTTTCGTAGTGAACCTTCTCTGACCCTCCAGCACCTCAGAAGAGAGACAGGATAGCTCAAATGATGGTCATATGAGGGAAACACTTTTGTTACATCAATATTCCCCAGTAGTACGATATCGCCTAAAGACAGCTAAAATAGTGTTAACAACTTGCACTAAGATAGAGACCGGTTTTAGTTCAATCATTATTCAGACAAACTTTCTGGCATAGCAGGACCCGTAGTAACACTAGTTCCAGTCAGTATAACTAGGTGGAATATTGCTAAATAAAAGCCCGACCACAGCATTTCAGTAGCAGATACCTTTAGGGCTGAGGTAAAACGTTCATACTGCTTGAAATTTATCAGTTAATGAGCAATAGTTCACAAGACCGAAAGGTCAAATATCAAGTCAACCAGAGAGAGGACTAATATCAACAGAAGTGAATACTAGGAAAGACTGCTATCTAGTTACTCGAGTATTTCTAAAGTCCATTTCAAAATAAACTGAGCTCTGCAGATATTGTTCAGAAGGCTGAGAAATAGGAGCTGAAAATAGGAGACATAGTAAGAAAACAGATTTATGAGACTATAAGTGTCTTTTTTCAGTTGCTCACCACTAGAACTTCAGGCAGCTGCTGCTTGTAGTCCGTCACCAGTGAGTAGTAGACAAGCTGGCCAATAGCAGTAGACAATGAGGAAATTTGACAACGAAAAACCAAGAACTTGCCACTAAGCTCTTGAGTAGAAGCGCGGATGGGAAACGAGGAATGCAGCTTCCCATGTTGAAGTGGAAGAGGTAGTGTTTGGGCTAAGTGAAAGCTGATGAGGACAACCGTAGACTCAATCAACTGAGACCGTAGAAAAGAGATTGGAATGGAGATGTGCTGCCGAAGCCCTGTGTTACACTCAGAACCCAACAGAATAATGAATTCTCCGTCGTCTTATCGCTTCGTTTGCCTTCAGATAAACACTAAGACTGTCTATGTGCACAAGACTATCGTCTGAGATTTAACACTTATGTCAGTAGCCAAGCTTTATATATATCCTGTTGCGTCTAACTCTAAGACAACCGATGTATATAAAGAATCCTAAATCTACTAAGTATTGAGGGGTGAAAATTTCATATGCCTTCTTCAAACAGACTGTAGAACACGATTCGTAGTGTCCAGCCAGTAATCATAATTTTCACCTGAATAGAGGATATGTTTAAAAGTTATTTTGTTTTGATAGTGACTGGCAGTCAGACAATAATCACAGTTATTTAACAACCACCTGAAATTTAATATAGTCAAGCTTGGGCTGGTTATATTACCCAAATCTCGGTTTGCAGAACGGGACTCGAACTTGTGACCCGATAGGAATTGACATGAAGTTATTTGACTCATGGTAACTACCAATTTGTCTTATTCGGAACTCGTCAGCTCAATATACCTGCATTCCTAGTGGATGATGGTGTTCTCACTGCATCAAACAACAAAGCACTAGCTATTGGGTGACGAGATCCACCTGTGCAATGAGTATCAGTTATTATTATTATTTTAATATACTTTTCATATACCACGGTGCAGAAATAAGGGAGTTGTATAAGAGGGTTCAAACGTCGAACAATAAGTCAAAAGTATGACAAGGATGTTTGCGTTCTATCTATCAATGTTAGTGAGAAATATTAAGGTTAGGTAAGGAGAGAAAATCAATCGATGAGGTTGTGAAGCTAAATCGACTTAGATGGTTAGGGCACTTATAACACATATACGAGGCCACCACCCACTTCAACGAGGAATGTTAGCCGATAAAGGATTAAATGTTGAAAAAGCATTAGGGGTAGTTAGATCAGAACATCAACTCAATAAAAAATGAAGTCTTTAATTGAGAACTATGTGGTAAGAAACCAGTGTCCAGTATGTAGTCGTTTATTTGGTGCAGACTGAAGTATATCAGTCAAGTTTGCGATGTGAATCCAAATGGGTTAGTGGTAATGTCACTGACTAGGACACTGGGTGAGATGGGTTCACATCTCTGGGGGAACATGAGTTCCTTCAAGACTGCAGATACGTCTCGCTGACTGATGAGTGCCAACTAGCATAGAAACCTAGGTCCAAGGCGTCATAGTGATTGCCTCCAATTATCTAATTAAGTCTTCGAGTGTTGGTTTGAGTCGCGTAGGGAGATCCAGACTGCCTGGTTGGGGCTCCTCGAAGACTATCGGTGATGAGATGGCTCTAAATGTTCCTGAATGGTGAAGACTTACTTATTCACTCTTTGTAACTTCTCAGTTCAACCAGGTTTTAATATTTTTTGCATGCTATTGCTCTTTTCCTGTACATTTCCCCTTATTATCCTCCTTTGGAACCTCTGTTTTCTTTCCTCTGTCTACACTTCTGTGCAAAGTTACACGGTGAAATTTGACTAGTCAGCCATATGACAGACATTCTTATGAACTATGATGGTTAAAATGAACCGAAACGATTTATTTCTATAAGTATAACCTTCTGTATAATGCCTGCTTTTCACCTAGCCCCCTATTTTTTGCCTTATTACTAAATCAAGTCTTCATCATAGTTCTTATAAAGTACAATGAGCTATCTATTCGTACTTA